AGAATTGGTGAGAGTAAAGTGATTGCTGCGCAAGCAGAGGGTATGTATTTTTTGTAGATAGATATTCTTTTGAACTTTTTCTGTACCATATTGCAATACTTAAACAAATCTACGCGAACAGTTGATTCCGCAAAATTAATGAGGCAAGCCGCCGAGATATTAAACTCACCTGCTGCTATGGTAACTACTTAGACTAACGAACAATCATATTAATAATGAACTAACATCTTGTCATCCTTTTTTATCAGCAAATTCGCTACCTTGAAACGATGAGCTCAATGTCAAAAGCTGCAGGAACAAAGGTCATTTTCATGCCCTATAATTCAGACGGAACTGGTACTATTGGTACGAGTGGCGCTAGTTCGTCCAATGGTAAACTTGATCCTTTAACAGCTTCGGTTTACCAAACGATGTCTGAACAGTAAACTGCAGTCCTAGGCTTTAATTTATCAAAGAAAAAAAAACAAGATTTTTTTTATGTAGCTTTCCGCATATTTACCGGACTTATTTTATTAATTATAAAAGTAGGAATATATATTTTGTGGATGAAATAAAACAACTTGTAATATTTATTATTATTATTATTATTATTAACTCATGATTATCCCGCCCATTATTCCGTTATCCAATGTGATTGTTAATCTACGGACTCATATTCTGATACCGAGTTATATCCATTTACAAATATTATGCATGCTAGTGTAAAATTAAACAATGCCGAGGTGCAAGAAATGATAAAACTAATGTCAAACTTCACACCATAATAAAATTTATCGGAGATGATATATAGATGGATGATCAAGGATATGGTCGCTATCTGTAGAAATGCTGTAGAAAAGTAGGTTTATTTTTTTGTCAGCATCTGAAAAAAAAAAAAAAAAAAGCGAGGGAAATAAACTCACATAGCATCCCTACACCAAAAGTAATAAACTTCCAAGCATCCTCACGGTGAGCTCGCCCGCCAATAAAAGTAACATATATCATATACAAAAGAACTACACCACCAACGACACCCGCGAGTATCATATAAATTTTTGCTGCATTCCATTCCTCGCAAAATCCTTCTTCGTCACAATCGCCATATTCGTCGGACGGAAATGGCCGACAACCCTCGGAACTCAGACTTGAACATTTCTGGGGTTGAAAGTAAAAGGTTAAAAGTTAAAGAGTGTTTGTTAAAGGATAAATGGCGTAAGTTGAGAAACGTATTAAAGTAGAGATGCACCTCAAACAAACCATAATTTGTAGTCGCTTTGTACGGCCTCGGACTTTCGAATAAGAGCCTTCAAAAGATTTGGAATTCATTATTAATCATTTTCACTTTAAGAAATGACTCTTTTAGTCAAAGTTTTTTGGAAAAACATACATACCATCGAGGTAAAGCTAAGGAAATTAACACACATGCATAACTGCAAAGAAACGACAAAGTAACTATAAGGTATGTTATGGTCCCTAGCATTTTTATCCGACTATATTGTAGTCAATAGATGCAACTATTTATAGTCTTGACGCGATCATAGTTTAAGTGTGTAACAAAAATAATTGCGCTATTATAGTCACGGGACATTTCCCTTACAAGGGTTTACTAGTAATGTTCAAATTACAAAAAGTCAATTAAAATTATTGTTCAAAGAAGGTTGGAACCAAGTGTGTCTTGAAAGTAAAGGTCCTCAAGATCAAACTTAGAGGCTATTATTATCTATAATAAGTTAGTTATATTTCTTTACTTCACTACACTGATTCACTAACTTGCAAGATAGAATGTAATGTATTAAATCAATTTATATAGCTAAATTCAATCCCTTTTTTGATCTCTTCTTTCACAAGATTAAATCTCTTATCTTTGATAAATAGTAATATCAAATGGAATAACAATTCATATCATAGTTGAGTTTCCTCTCCCCTACCCTTATACAAATATTACTAGATAGATAAACATCCTAAAGAAATTCCCTTTCTTACTTAACATTAGTAATTAACTTCTGAATTTAGTTAAAAATTGACTGGAGAGTAATTTCACTAAAAGAAATGGTTAAAGTTTTCCATACTACTGAAATAATCTTAGGTGAATACCATATTTTCAAACAGAAGATCTTTGTCATAATTAAAAACTAATAGACTTGATATAACTTTAAAGAATATAAAAGAAGAAACAGATCTTATCACATTTTTCTTACTAAGTTTTTTGATAGAATATTTGTGAATTAAGTGATATCTCTTTTTTTTTTTTTTTTTTTTTTTTTTTAACCCTCTGTCAGGCTAGTTATGTGTGCTTTATTAAACATTTGTAAACTGTACATA